CTCCTCCTCCTCCTCCTCCTCCTCCTCCTCCTCCTCCTCCTCCTCCTCCTCCTCCTCCGATTCCTCCTCCTCATAGTCGCCATCGTCCAGCTCGAGCAGAGCCCCGAATCTATAGAGAGGTCTCACAGTCCCCGTGGAAGACCCCCGGAGCCACCCGACCACGCAGGCCAGGAGGGGGGAGGGGAGGGTCCTGGGCACAGGGTGACTCTTGGTGCGCGGCCTGCAGGTCGCTGCGCGCGATGCGACAGCAGCGGCCTGCGCGCCTGGGCCGGGCCTCCCCCGGCCCCGAAGCCGCGCACCCGAGGCCACTCTGACGGAGGGCCACTCGGTCTGCGGGTCCTAACTCGGGCCCCCCAGAGACCGTTCGGGACGATCCGGGCGCCCCTGGAACGCTCTGGGCGAGCCGCAGCTGCTGGACCGCACCCTCGGGCAGGAGAAACCTCCCTGGGAACCAAGAGACAGGCCCGAAAACCCTTCCAGCAGAAACGCCCCCGCGAAAGCCCCCACGGCAGAGGACACTCCAGCGAGGGGCCACTCTCACCACGAAGTCGAGACCTGCACATCGTGCGCTTCACCTGCGCCGGGGCCGCGAGCGCCAGCGGCACCGCTGGGGCCTCGCCGCGGGCGAGGCCAGCGCCCAGCGCCGCGCCAGCGGGGTACAGCGGCGCCGCCTGCCCGAGCTCCTCCTCTCGGGGGCGGGCGCCGAGGCCGCCTGAGCGCTCTGGTCGGTGCGGCATCGTCGTGGTCGTGGTCATGGTCGTGGTCGTGGTCGTGGTCGTGGTCGTGGTCGTGGTCGTGGTCGTGGTCGTGGTCGTCGTGGTCGTCGTGGTCGTCATCGTCGTCGGCGTCGTCATCGTCGCCGTCGTTGTCGTCGTCGTCGCGGTGGGGCGCTTTCGCTCAGCACAGCGCGGCGGCGGCCCCTGCGACACGCCGCGCCTCGCAGGCGCTCTGCCTCGCAGGACGGCAGGCTGGGGAGAGCTCGGAGTGCCGCTGCTTGGGGGCCGGGACGCGCTCGGCGTGTCGCGCCGGAGCGCGGTGGGCCAGAGCCAGCGGAGCGATGCGCTCATGGCAGGCGAATCGCCTCGCGTGCATAACTGGCTTTCCCTGCGCCTCCCGCCGCGGGCTGCGCACGTGTACCGACGCCCCGCAGCGGGCCCGAAACCAGCTGCATGCAGCCGCTTCCGCTACTCCTTCCTTCCTTCTCCGTTCCTTCTCGGTGGCACGGAGGCTTGACAATGAACGGCAGTGTTTGAGGCGAGGGAGGTGTAGCTAATTTATGGTGGCCCACAGTAGGGCTGACACCCCTCCGCCGAAGGCCGCAATGGCCATAAGCTGTCAGCGATGCCCTCCCCAACACCAGCCCTTTCGTCCGGCCCGATCCTCCGAATGCGCGAAGCCGCACAGGGGGCCCCGGCCACAGGTGCCCTCCAGGAAGAACCTGCACGGATGGAGGGGGTGGAGGAGGGGGTGGAGGAGGAGGAGGAGGAGGAGGAGGAGGAGGATAGAACAGGCGATTCTTCGACCTCTTGAGCGTCCTTCATCTCGGGCTCCGGGGGCCCGTCTCGGGTCCAGGGGCCGTCGGAAATCGATCCGAGGTGCAAACCTTGCCAGGGCGGTGCACAGGAGAGACACGGGGACTGACTTTGAACGGGTGCTGGTCGGAGGAGAAAGAGGAGGAGGAGGAGGAGGAGGAGGAGGAGGAGGAAGAGGTTAAAAGAGGAGGAGGAGGAGGAGGACAACGACGAAGAGGAGGAGGACAAGGCGAAGGAGGCGGAGGAGGATGTGAAGGAGCAGGATTGAAATCCGAAGGTCGAGGTTTCTGGACGGTGTTCGCCCCTTCAGGGGCCTCTCAGAGGCCTCTAGCCAAGGAGGATGGGGAGCAGGAGGATGAGGAGCAGGAGGATAATGAAGGAAAGGGGCAGGATCGACGTTCCAGGATCGAGGATCGAGGTATTTGGGCGGCTTTCCCCGCCGGGGGCCTCGGGGATGCACCTTGTCGTTGCGGCCGGCTCCGCCCCGACACGTGGGGAGAAGAGGAGGAGGAGGACCACTGTCAACCCAAGAGGCATCCACGATGTTGGAATAAACCCTCCCTCCAAGCTCCCTATTCATAGGCCCCTACAACGGTTCATTTCTACTGGAGGATGCCAAAACATTGTTCCCAGGATTCCAACGCCACGGATCAACCTGACTGTTGCGTCTTGACGATCCTGAACCGCGCCAGACCGCCATTCCTGGGACTTGAACACCACGAATCAACATAACTTGTGCACCCTCATAAGCCTGAATCCTTCCAAAACGCCATTTCTGGTACGCTCATCATGGAAACCCGTGAAACTTTACCAATTTTGTGGAACGAATGCGCGCGGCGCTGAAGCGAGAGCCACATTTTGAAAAGGTACCGCCCTCAATCGGTGAAGCTCATGCAAATGTGTAAAAGAGTCTGCGCGGCGCTAAAGCGAAAAACCCATTTTGAAAACGACTCGCCCTCGATCCGTAAACTCTGGCAACTTGTTAAACGAATGTGCGCGGCGCTAAAGCGAGAGCCACATTTTGGAAACCACCCGCCCTCAATCCGTGAAACTTTCGCACATATTACAAACGAATGTGCGCGGCGCTAAGGCGATAGCCACATTTGCGCGGCGCTAAGGCGCGAGCCACGTGTTGAAAACCACTCGCCCTCAATCCGTGAAACCCTTGCAAATTCTTGAAACGAGTGCGCGCGGCGCTAAGGCGAGAACCACATTATGGAAACCACCCGCCCTCAATCCGTGAAACTCTTGCAATTTGTGTAAACGAATGCGCGCGGCGCTAAGGCGAGAGCCATATTTTGAAAACGACCCGCCCTCTACATGAGAAACTGTTGTCCATATTAAACCCCCCTCAGAGTCATCAATGGTGAGGAAGTCTCAGGCGAAACGCCCGGCCCGCGCTAAAAACTGGCCTCGGGGTGCGACAGGGAGGAGTTAAGTATAAGGAGAAGAAATGGAGGAGGAGGAGGAGGAGGAAGAGGAGGAGGAGGAGGAGGAGAGCGGCATCGTGCGGAGAACTCTCATGCCATCAGGAATCAGGTAACAGGTAATAGGAAACAGGAGGAGGATGAGGCGGAGGAGAAGGAGGAGAAAGAGACCGGCAGCGTGCGGAGCACTCTGATGCCAGGAGGAAACAGGAATCAAGAGGAGGAAGAGAAGGAGGAGGAGGAGGAGGAGGGAAGAGGAGGAGGAAGAAAGAAGCAGGAGGAGGCGGAGGAGGAGAGGAGGAGGGAGGAGGACAGAAGCAGGAGGAGGAGGGGGAGGAGGAGGGAAAGGAGGAGGAGGGGGGAGAGGAGGAGAGGAGGAGGAGGAGAAAGGAGGAGAAGGAGGAGGAGGAGAAGAGGAGGAGAAGGAAGAGAGAAGCAGGAGGAGAATCGAGGGGAGGCAGGAGGAGCAGAGGCCCGGCCCTGCCGCAGGTGCCCGCCAGGAAAGAACCTGCACAGTGTGCGCTTGATCTCCACGGGTGGCCCCGCCACCTGGTCTCCTCGGCCTCCTCTCTTCCTCTCCCTATCTGCTTTCTCCCCCTCCGCCTCCCTCTCCTCCTGCTCCTGCTCCTCCTCCTCCTCCTCCTCCTCCTCCTCGTCCGCCTCCTCCTCCTCCTTCTCCTCCTCCGCCTCCTCCTCCGCCTCCTCCACCTCGTCCTCATCGGCGCTTCCACACCCAACACCATCACCACAACTACATCACTACATCATCATCATCATCATCATCATCATCATCATCATCATCATCATCATCATCATCATCATCATCATCATCATCATCATCATCATCATCATCCTCATCCTCATCCTCATCCTCATCCTCATCCTCATCCTCATCATCATCATCACCATCACCATCACCATCACCATCACCAGCATCATCATTATCATCATCAGCATCATCATCAGCAGCATCATCACCATCACCATCATCAGCATCACCATCACCATCATCAGCATCATCATCATCATCAGCATCATCACCACTACATCATAATCAGCATCATCACCATCATCATCATCATCATCATCAACATCATCATCATCATCATCATAATCATCATCATCATCATCACTATCAGCATCATCATCATCAGCAGCATCATCATCATAATTGTCATCATAATTGTCATCATCATCATCATCATCGTCAGCGTCACCACCACCACCGCCACTACCCTCCTCATCATCAGCATCATCACTCCATCATCATCAGCATCATCATCAACAACAGCAACGTCATCAGAATCAGCAGCAGTAGCCGCATCAGCACCAGCATCAACAGCATCATCATCAGCATCATCAGCAGCAGCATCAGCATTACCACAATCATCACCAGCGTCATCAAAATCATCATGCTCAGCAGCATCATCATCACCAGCAGCCTCATCATCATCATCATCATCATCATCATCAGCAGCATCAGCATCATCATCATCATCATCATCATCATCATGTTCAGCAGTTCAGCATCACAAGCACAAGCATCATTATCAGCATCCGCATCATCATCAGCAGTATCATCATCAACACCATCAGCATCACAGCAGCGCCATTATTCTCCCCATCATCACCATCAACAGCATCAGCATCATCATACTCAGCATTAGCATGAGCATCATCAGCGTCATCATGATCATCAGCATTATCACCATCATCCTCAGAATCGTCATAATCATCATTATCAGATACTGGTCATCGCCGTCATCATCATCGTCATTATCAGCATCACCATCAGCAGCAGCATCAGCATCAGCATCAGCATCAGCATCATCATCATCATCATCATCATCATCATCATCATCATCATCATCATTGTCAGCAGCAGCATCATCCCCCTGCTTCCTATCATCATCATCACCACCACCACCATCATCATCATCATCAGCATAATCATCATCGAGAGCAACGTCCTCATCCTCATCCTCATCCGCATCCTCGCCTCGCCTCCATCAGTAATCATCCCTCGTTCTCTTTTGAGCCCACCTTCCTCCACCCGCTTCCTCCTTTCTTCTCTGTTCTCCTCCTCTTTCCTCCTCATCCTCCCCGTCCCTGCTCCGCCTCATCCGTCTTCGACGGCGGCGACCGTTGCCTATCCCTCTCTGCTACCTTATCATCACCCGTCTCGTCCGCATCATCAACATCAGCATCAGCACCAGCATCAGCATCAGCATCAGCATCAGCATCAGCATCATCATCATCATCATCATCATCATCATCATCACGATCGTCATCATCATCATCATCATCATCATCATCATCATCATCATCAGCACCCTCATCATCATCATCATCATCATCATCATCACCATCACCATCATCATCATCATCGCAATCATCATCATCATCAGCATCATCAGCAGCAGCATCATCATCATCATCATCATCATCAACAGCATCATCCTCGTCGTCATCGTCAGCAGCATCGCCACAACCACCACCTTAAGCATCATCATCATCAGCATCAGCATCAGCAGTACCAGCGACAGCATCATCAGCATCGTCATCAGCGTCAGCCTCATCATCATCACTATCAGCATCATCATCATCAGCATCATAAGCAGCACCATCATCCGCATCATCATCATCATCATCATCATCCCCAACATCATCATCAGCAGCATCAGCATCAGCACCAGCATCATCATCAGCATCACATTCACCATCATCATAATCAGCATCATCAGAAGCAGCAGCCGCATCGGCATCAGCATTATCATTACATCACAAGCACAACCCTCATCTCATCATCACCAGCATCAGCATCATCATCAGCAGCATCAGCATCAGCATCAGCATCGCGATCATCGCCAGCATCTTCAGTATCACCACCACCATCATCATCAGCATCATCATCACCATCATAATCAGCAGCATCATCGGTATCATCAGCATTGCCAGCATCATCAGCATCACCATCATCAGCAGCAGCAGCAACATCATCATCATCATCATCATCAATCATCATCATCAACATCATCATCGCCACCATCAGCATCATCATCACCATCATCATCACCATCATGAGCATCATCAGCATCAGCACCATTATCATCGTAGCCATCATCATCACAATCATAATCATCAGCAGCATCATCATCACCAGCACCATCATCATCATCATCATCATCACTACCATCACCACCATAGTAAGCAGCATCATAGTCGGAATCATCATCCGCATCATTATCAAAATCATAGTCATCATCATCCTCATCACCATCATCAGCATCAGCAGCATCAGCATCAGCATCAGCATCAGCATCCTCATCAGCACCACCCTCCTCCTCATCACCGTCAGCAACATAATAATCATCAGCACCATCATCATCATAAGCATCATCATCTTTACCATCGTCGTCATAAGCAGCAGCAGCAGCATCATCATCATCATCAGCATCATCAGCATCATCATCAGCAGCAGCAGCATCGTAATTATCAGCATCATCAGCAGCATCATCATGATCCTGATCCTCATGCCCGTCCTCACCCTCACCATCATCATCAATCATCCCTCGTTGTGTGTCGAGACCTCCTTCCTCCCACCAGTTCCTCCTCTCTCCTACTTCCTTCTGCTCCTTCATCCTCATCCTCCCTGTCCCTGCTCCTCCTCATCCGCCTTCGACGGCGGCGACCCTTATCCCTCCCCCATCGTCCACCTCATCATCCCCCTTCTCCTCCGCATCATCATCATCATCAACAACAACATCATCATCATCATCATCACCGTCATCATCGCCGTGATCATTGCCGTCACCCCTGGTTGACAGATTGGTGATCACACTCACGCCTCCCTTCCCCATCCGCAGCTTTCTCCATGAAATTATCATCGTCATCAGCATGTCATCCCCGTGCCGAAAGTTCTTTGAATTCTGCGAGTGCGACCGAAAGCAAGTCTTGCTCACAGATACGAGTTCATCGCGACGGCAGCCCTAAGGGGGTGGAGGGCTCAGGAGGCATTGAACCCTCCCGAACCACTGAACAGCCTAGCAAGACACTCGTCTTGCGTGGTCTGGCCGAGATCCCGCTCCACTGATGAAATCTAAAGATATAGGTCAGAAAATACAAGGTCACACCAAGGAAAAAACGTGGTTCCCATACATCCGGGGCGGGATGCAAATCCTGCAGTTTGATTTCGTTTTGGCGTTGCCTCGGGGCCATCTTGAGAGCGCACCTGGGCCATGCCGGAGTCATGGTGTCGTGTTCGGGCACTGCTCTGGCCACTTCAGGCCCGCCTCGGGGGCCATCGCCTGGTCATCGAGACACCTCTTGACCGCCCCTCGCAGATCTGCTGGGCCGCCTTGGGATTGCCCCACGGCCTGCGAGGAGCCACGCCGAGACCATGCACGGGTCACTGCGTCCCGTCGGGGTCGCCCCGAGGGAGCGGTTAAAGTTCGGGTCGCATGGACGCCGCGGCCACCCCGCCGGGGGCGTTCGCGGTGGAACGCCGCTGGCGGCATCCGATCGCTCGAGGCCGAACGGGCCGCGCGGTGTCCGAAAACCAACGCTGGGGGGTCGTCGCGACACGAACCCGCCGCAGTGTCGGGTCGCTTGGTGCTTTGAGGCCATCTTGGAAATACACCGATGGTCGCGGGGCCGCCTTGGAATCCGTCTGGGTCCTCATGAGGACCCTCGCGCTTCCAGAGAAAAGCTCGCTGCGGCCAGTCATTATCATCACCATGAGTATCATGGCCACCATCATCAGAAGCAGCACCAGCAGTGGCATCCGCCTGAGCGTCATCAGCAACATCATCATCATCATCATCATCATCATCATCATCATCATCATCATCATCATCATCATCATCATCATCATCATCATCATCATCATCATCATCATCATCATCATCATCATCATCATCATCATCATCATCATCATCGTCATCATCATCATCATCATCATCTCATCATCATCATCATCATCATCATCATCATCATCATCATCATCATCATCATCATCATCATCATCATCATCATCATCATCATCATCATCATCATCATCATCATCATCATCATCATCATCATCATCATCATCATCATCATCATCGTCGTCGTCATCATCATCATCACCATCATCATCATCACCATCCGCAGCATGACCTCAACCACCACAACCACCACACGCCGTCATCCTCGCCATCACATCACCATCAACATCCAACATCATTACCATCAGCGTTCCGATTACATCTACCACCATGTCCATCATCGTCAACATAATCGTCATCATGATTATAAACCGTTGGTGTGTGACAACTCTCGTCAGCAACAGCACCAGCAACATCGTTAGCAATGTCATCATCGCCACCATTCACCTGACGTTATACCCCGTTCTCCACACAAGCGTACCCCCATAATCATCCTCATCCCATCGTCACCATTGTGATTATCATACGATTTGTTCGGGAAGTACCCCTCCTTTTTCCCCTGCACCTCCCCCTCGCCCTCCTCTTCCAACTCATCCACATCCTTCGGACAATCCACCTCCTTGTCTCCCTCTTTCTCCCCGTCCCTATCCTGAACAAATACTATCATCATCATTATCATCATCATCATCATCATCATCATCATCATCATCATCATCATCATCATCATCGCCATCATCATCAGCATCATCATAATCAGCATCAGCACCAGCACCAGCATCAGCATCAGCATCAGCATCAGCATCAGCATCAGCATCAGCATCAGCATCAGCATCATCATCAGCATCAGCATCAGCATCAGCATCATCATCATCATCATCATCATCATCATCATCATCATCATCATCATCATCATCATCATCCTACTCCCACTCCACCTCCTCACCGCCAAACTCCTCCTTCTCCTCCTCCTCCTCCTCCTCCTTCCCAGCATCTTCCCTCACCGCTCCTCGCGTGAAGGCAGTCCGACCTGCGCTCTCACGCACCAAGGTGGTGCCCATGGAGAGACGGGCGAACACCCGCGCCAGACCCGCGTGAGGGGCGTGCCAGAACGGGCAGGTATGGACGGGGGGGCGGCATGCGTCGGCGCTCGTTGAGGCAACGGGTCAGATTCCCCACGAGGGGCACGATCTGCGTGAGCGCTGTGCTGAAATGAACGGGGGGGGGGACGCCTTACGCCGGCGCCCACTGGATCCGCAGGTAGATGGAGCCTCCGGTGGGGGGTGGGGGTGGGGGAGAGGGGGTCCCGATCCGCGTGACGGGTGTGGCGAAATGGGCATGCTGACGCCATACGCCTGCGTACAGCTACATACGGAGGCGCGATCCGATTGAGGTGTGCGTGTGTGTGTGTGCGTGTGTGTGCGTGTGTGCCGAGATGGGCAGGGGCACCATGCGTCGGCGCCCATTGTGAGCGTAGGTGGCGCTTGCTATGGGGTCGCGATCCGCGTGCGGGGCGTGCCGAAGTTGTTGGGGGGGCGCCTTACGTCGGCGCCCACTGAGGCAGTACGTAGAGCTTAGCATGAGGGAGCGATCCGCGTGAGGGGCGCGCCGACATTGCGGGGGGGGGCAGCAGCACGTCGGCACCCACTGAGGCCGCAGGTGAAGCTCTAGTCGGGCGGCACGATCCGCGCGAGGGGCAGTGCCAACAGGGGCACGCCGGACGCCTCACGCCGAGACCGCAGGTGGAGCTCCCTGTGGGGGCACGATGCGCGTGAGGGGTGCGCCGAAATGGGCGGGGAACGCACCACCGTGACCGCAGAGGTGGAGCTGCTGATGAGGGAAACGATCCGCGCGAGGGGCGTGCCGAAAGGGGCAGGGCAGACGCCACACGTCGGCGCCCGCTGCAGGGGCGTGCCGAAAATGCCCAGAGGGCCGCCGCACGTGGGCGCAAGCGGAGACCCCGGGCGGAGCTCCCTGCGGGGCACGCAGCGTGCAGAGCTGGCCAGGTCGAACGGGTGGTCGGCGGGCCCCGCCCGTTCCCAGCCTCCCGCCCATGGTCACTCGGGATGTCGTATGAAAAGGGGGGGGGGGGGGGCACATTTCAAGGGGGGTCTGAGTTGAGCTGCCTTGGAGGGTTCGGGGGGGTCTGGGCAGGGTCTGAAACTGCTCCACTGGGAGGGCTGTGACCAACTCCCCTTGATTGCGAAATCGGGAGGGTTGTGACCCACTCCCTTTTCTTACGAAATCTGGAGTAACACAAGAGCCAGTGGTGGCGCAACTTGTTTGTGGGACTGGCGCGCAACCCCGCTTCCGACGGCTTTACGGGGCCACATGCGAACCCTACCCCTGCACCCCACGACTTCTGAGGGGACGGGGGTGGGGTTCACTGCGCTCGGGAGCTCCCGAGCGAAGTGAATGAACCCCACCCACCGCCCTCAGAAATCGTGGGGGGCAGGGATAGGATTCGCATGTGGCCCCCCAACGAAATCTGGAGTAACACAAAGAGCCAGCGGTGGCGCAACTTGTCTGTGGGACTGGCGCGCAGCCTCGCCTCCGACGGCCCGGCGAGGGGACGCACACGGGCCGCGCAGGGGCGAGAGCTCCGCCGGATCCCTCCCGCGGCGCCGCGGCGAGAGCACCATTTTATACGCAGCCCTCCTGCAAGCGGCCGAATGTCCGATGAGCGCGGCCAAGGCGAAGGATGTGCCGCGCCGAGGAGGAGGAGGAGGAGGAAGAGGAGGAGGAAGAGGAGGAGGAGAAGGGAGGAGGAAGGAGGAGGGAGGAGGAGGGAGGAGGAGGGAGGAGGAGGGAGGAGGAGGGAGGAGGAGGGAGGAGGAGAGAGGAGGAGGGAGGAGGATGGAGGAGGAGGGAGGAGGAGGGAGGAGGAGGAGGGGGAGGAAGAGGAGGAGGAGGAGGAGGCAGCACTGCCACTTTCACCAAGAATCTGCGCGGCGCCTGGGCGAGAACCGCACTTCGCCCACTCTCTCGTGCGGCCCCGCTGCTGCTGCCTGCGTTCCGGCGACTCGGCGGCCGCGAAGCATGCGCCGCGCCAGAGACGGAACGCCACTTCCAGGCGAAATCTGCCCGGAGCCTCGGCGAGGGCCAAAATTCACACGCTCTCTCGCGCGGCCTCGTCCCCAAACGAATCTGGCGAATGAGAAGTACGTGCGGCACTGCAGCGGGAGCGTGACTTTCAGGCGAAATCTGCGCGGCACCGAGAGTCACATTTTGCCCGCGCGCGCGCGACCCCGCCGTCGAAAAGTCGGAGAGCATGAGATGCACGCCGCGCCACGCGGGAGCTCAGCTCCCAGCAAAATGGGCGCGGTGCCGAGGCGACAACGACATTTCGCGCTTTCGCTCGCAATCTGCGCCCTGTCTCGCTCCTCCAAGCGTTTTGCAACGTCGATGACGAAACGTCAATGTTGAGAGGAGAATGTTTACGTTGCGTTGTTCTCTGGACGGATAAGATGGGAGGGCCCAGATTGGCCGGTCATCGGCCAGCTAGGTTGCAGAGTGGAGGGATATATGGATAAGGAAAAAGAATGAGATGTGTGCTAAAAAAGCATACTGAGAGCAGAGACAGGGAGAGGAGGAGGAGGAGGAGGAGAAGGAGGAGGAGGAGCAGGAGGAGCAGGAGGGAGGAAGAGAGAAGGAGAGGAGGAGGGAGGAGGAGTAGATGAGGGAGGAGGAGGAGGAGAAGGAGGCGGAGGATAAGAAAGGTGGAGGAGTGAAGGAGACGCGCGGTGCTACAGACAAAACAAGGATGGTAAAGCAAGGGGATGAGGAGGAAAGGAAGTAGGAGAAGCAAAGAGAAATGAGACGAGCGGCGCTACGTATTCAAACCGAGAGCCCAACAACCTATGAAGATTGTGAGGCGGGGCACAATGATCCTACTAATTTCCTTCTCATCCAATTCCTCCTCCCACCTTCCTCCGTCTCCCCTCCTCCCTCCTCCTCCTCCTCCTCGTCCTCCTCCTCCTCCTCCTCCTCCTGACCCTCCTCCTCCTCCTCTTGACCCTCCTCCTCCTCCTCCTCCTCCTCCTCCTCATCATCATCATCGTCATCATCATCATCCTCATCCTTCAATCCTTTTCCTGAAAAAGAACTTGTTCATGTCGCACCCCGAGGCCAGTTTTTGGGGCGGGCTGGGCGTTTCGCCTAAGACTTCCTCACCATTTATGACTCTGAAGCTCGAAAATTGACAACAGCTTCTCAGATGGAGGGCGGGTCGTTTCCAACATGTGGCTCTCGCCTGAAAGCCGCACACACTCATTTGACAAAATTGCAAGAGCTTCACGGATTGAGGGCGGTTCATTTCCGAAATGTGGCTCCCGCCTTAGCGCCGCGCACAGTCTTTTAAACAAATCGCAAGAGTTTCACGGATTGAGGGCGCGCCGTTTTCAAAATGTGGCTCTCGCCTTTGCGCCGCGCACATTCGTAATATAAATTTGCCAGCGTTTCACGGATTTCCATGATCAGCGTACCAGAAGCGGCATGCTGCACGGATTCCGGATTATGAGGGTGCAACAGTTACGGTCAGGGTCTTCGAACGGTTGTCTTCCAACGAGGCAGTTCGCTCAGTAGAAATGAACTGTTGTATGGGGCCTATGTAGAGGGAGCTTGGAGGGAGGATGTATTACAGCATCGTTGATGACTCTTGGATTTACACTGGTCCTCCTCCTCCTCCTCCAACTCCTCTAACTCCTCTAACTCCTCTAACTCCTCCTCATCATCATCATCATCATCATCATCATCATCATCATCATCATCATCATCATCATCATCATCATCATCACCATCCTCATCCTCATCCTCATCCTCATCCTCATCCTCATCCTCATCCTCACCACCACCATCACCATCACCATCACAATCATAATCATAGCCCAAATCTGGCCAATCCTCCTCTAACGCCTCCATCACACTCCATCCCCCATACCCTGCTCATACTCCTCCTACACATCTTGACACTCCTCATCCACAGCCTCCCACAGACTCCCTCGACCTGATCATTTTTCTCCTCATCCTCCTCCTCATCTTCCTCATCCTCGTAACCATCATCGCCCTTTTCCTCGCTATCTCCTCTCCTCGTCCTCCTCCTCCTCCTCCTCCTCCTCCTCCTCCGCCTCATCCTTCTCTTCCTCCTCCTCCTCCTCCTCCTCCTCCTCCTCCTCCTCCTCCTCCTCCTCTTCCTCTTCCTCCTTCCTCCTTCCTCCTCCGCATTATCGGCTTCCTCACTCCTCCTCCACCTCCTCCTCCCCCTCCTCCTCATCATCATCATCAAAATCACCCCCACCACGACCCTCATCCCTCCCTGGTCAGTCCCTCCACCGTGCCGAGCTCCGCATCGGAGTGGGCAAAGGTGCAATTGACGCCCTTCTCGCACGTGCCCTCCAAGTGGAACTTGCAGATGGTGCGCTTGATCGTGGCCTCGGCGAGGACGGGCGAAGGAGAGAAGCATCTAATTAGAGGAGGACAGGGGAGACGAGAACAGAGGAGAGAAGGAGAGAGGAAAGAGGAGGAGACAGGAGGAGGACGGAGGCGAGAGGAGGAGAGAGGAGCAGGACGGAGGAGAGAGGAGGAGGAGAGGGGGAGAGAGCAGGAGAGAGGAGCCGAAGATAAGGAGGACGACGGCGAAAACGAGGGGGGATCACAAGGACGAGGGCGAGGAGGAAGAGGACGAAGACGAGGACGCGGAGGCTGTTACCATGCCAGCTCTCAACGGTCAGCCGCTCGGTCAGAGCCCCGCCTCGGGGCCGGGAGGCCCCCCTCGGCCGCGCCAGCCGACCCGCTCGCCCAGGGGGGGCGCGGCGGGCTGCAATCGCCACCGGACCGCACCAAGACGGCTGCCCTCGCCCCCGGGGCCGCGCCCAGGTCGCCAGGGCTGCAATCTCCCCCAGCCAGGGCCGCCCAGGACGGCCCGATGCCCCGAGACGGCCCAGGGTGGCCCCAGGGCGGCCCGGGAAGCCCCCCGGTACGCCCCTGGTCTCAGGAGGGCCCCCGAGAAGGCCTCCAGAGACAAACGTGGCAGGTGTCCTTTCCAAAAGAAGCGGCAGCCATTGATTGTTTCATCTGTGCTTGACGAGTGCCTCCGTTTTCGCTGTGTCTGCCTCCTGGCAACCCACAACGGCTTGAGAGGCTTCCACCGCGGCCCCAAGACGGCCGAAGAGGCCTCCAAGAGGGCCCCACGACGGCCCGAGAGCCCCAAGATGGCCCGAGAGGTCCCCAAGAGGGCCCCCAGGGGGCAGCCCAACACGGCTCCAAGACAACCCGAAATGGCTTCAAGACGGTCCAAGATGGCCTTCAGAAGGCGCGAGACGGCCCAAGACGGCCACCAGACATCCTCAGATGGCCTCTAGACGGCCCACGAGGACCAAAAGACCCCAAGACAGCCCAAGAGGGCTACAGAGGCGCTCCATGAGCGCCCAGAAAGCCACATTCAGTGATTTCCGCCCAGCTTCGGAAGCTTGTGATGTTCTGATGTTCTCGCACTCGCTGCCTCGCAACAGCCAAAAACGGCCGGAGAGGAAACACATGCCCAAGAGGGCCCAACCGCAGACCAAGAAACCTCCGAGACGGTCCAAGATGCTATAGACAGCCCCAAAGATCCTCATGATGCTTTAAGATGGCCCCCAAACGGCGCAAGACGGGCAAAGATGGCCCCCAGACGGCCCCAAATGCCTTGGACGTGTTTCGGTCGGTTAGAGTGGACACCTTCCCCCTCCACTACCATTTGTACCCGTCCTCTTCATCCTCCTCCTCCTCTTCCCCCATTCCTCCTTCCTCATTCCTCCTTCCTCCTTCCTCCTTCTTCCTTCCTCCTTCCTCTTCCTCCTCGTCACCCCCTCTCCTTCTCGGCCTCACCCCTCCTCTTCTTTTCCTGCTCCTCTGTATCTTCCAAGGAGACCGATGGTGCAGAGGAGGGATGGTCAGAAACTTGGGAAAAAAGAAAGGAGGACGGTAACAAGCACCACGGAGCAGGCGATGCTTGTCGCGCACTCCCCCCGCTAATGCAACATTTGCTTGGCGGCAACCTTGGGGTGCTGTGTATGAAACGCCGTCCATTTGACAGGGATGGTGTCCGGATGCCTGCACTTCGGGAACGCAACACCGTGCGCCAATATGCGTAGCTGTTTAAGGAAAGATTGCCAGGATGATCGCGAGACAAACGAGCGGTCGACGAGCGCAGAGGACAACAAAAAAAACAGCTACAACAAAAAACAGTGCGCACGCGGAGCGAGAGGGTGAGCTTCTGCATCCGGGGGGGGGGGTCGGGCGCAGCGCCAGGCTGTGCAGACGCTGGCCCCATGTGGATCTCGGCGGCGCAGAAGCGCCAACTCTTCTTCTCGTGGGCACGTCTGCGTATCGGCGAACGGGTGGAGGAGGAGGAGGAGGAGGAGGAGGAGGAGGAGGAGGAGGAGGAGGAGGAGGAGGAGGAGGAGGAGGAGGGGGAGGAGGAGGAGGAGGAGGAGGAGGAGGAGGAGGAGGAGGAGGAGGAGGAGGAGGAGGAGGAGGCGGAGGCGGAGGAGGAGGTGCCCTTTCTCACGTGCAAGCTCGCCCCGAGAAGCGCGCGAGCGGGGCACGGGGCGCGCCGGAGATCTCCCAGGTCGGAGCACGGCCGCCCCACGGGCGGAGGCCGCCGCACGATGGGCTCGGCCTGGACGGGATCTCGCGCACACAAACGCCCCGGGGACGGCCGGTGATGCGCCGCCAGCGCTCTGGATGCTATTGGGAGTCCTCATTGCCACCATCATCATCACAATCATCACGCTCACGACACTGATCATCCCAACACCACCTCGTTACCATCATCGCACAGGTGAATACATGGGACAGCGCACACGGCACCGAGGCCCCACACCACTTCGTTCCGCCCCCCCCCACCTCCCTAACCGGGGAGATGTCGACCCCTGTCCCAGGCTTTGGGAGATTTTCGAGTGGACAGGAAATTTGGGGCCCTGGATATACAATGGGGGGCGTCCATCTTGGATAAGGGCGCGTCCGAGTAGAACCCTCGAGGCGTATCCCAGGGCCCCTCTCCTCTTCTGAGCGGCTTCAGCTTTCGTCGAAAAGTCGGGGTTGGGGGGGGGGAATAGCCTGCAACTCCCTGCTGATACCGCCGTCCTCCCTCGTCTTCATGCTCTCTCCCTTCCCACCCACCCCGCCCTCCCCCTGCCCCCCCGTCGAGGCTTGGCGCTATTCGCCCACACCGGGTGGGGCGGCAGGCGGTCGAATTAGGCCAATAACCCGAAATGTGGACCTGGGCGCGCAGCACCAAGGAAGACGCACGAAGGGCCCAAAACCACAGCCTGGGCACCAAGAGAATCCAGGAACGGCAGCCAGACGCCGTGCCCTGCAGGAGGCTTGGAGGCAGCGGGGCTGCGTCAGAGGATGGGAGCGTTCCACCTCAATAAAAGCACGGGATATACTCAATCTCTGTTAATTCGCGACTGTCTGAAGCCTCGCGCGCCCCTGGCAGACGCGCAAGCAAATTCAGAGAAGCAAAGTCAGCGGAATGTACGAGTGCGCAGGCACGGAGAGAAGGACAAGAAGGGGGGAAGGGGAGGGAGAGGAAGGGGAGTATGGGAGCACATCACACAAGCTTGAAAACTGACGTCGCCCATTGTTGTCTTGGGCGGTCCCTGCTCCTGCGGAAAGCCTAGTTATTAGGGGTGCCGTCGCCGTCGCACACTAGTGTCTTAACCAGTGCTGCGTCGCTATGGAAAGTGAATTTCTTTTCTGTGACTACTTGCCCATCGCCCAGGATCGTAGATAAAGCCTTGGAACACGCGATGCAGAGCACAGGGGCATACGAAATGCTGGAAACGTACGAAGGCTGAATCTTCGCATGTTTCGCAAGTTATTACAATAGAAAGCACCCAACCTGTCGCTGTCATGTTTTCCTCTCGCTGTCACTTTCCAAGGGCCACAATGAATCAAGCGAGTACAACAATATGCTCCGCACTCAAGACGGAAGGAGAGATATGTATGTATGCGTGTATATGCTTGTGTACATTCATATATACATGTACACATACATATAAATGTAGATAAACACATAAATATGCAAACACCTGTGTATATATAGATGTGTGTACATATATATATATATATATATGCGTAAAGCTTTCGGTTTCGCCCACTACTGGACTGCTGTCATACTTTACATCGTTATTGAAATATTGAAGTGGCTTCTCCCAATCACCTTGGCAGCTCGCTCGCAACACGGCCACCGTTAGTTACCAGACCCCCAAAGAAACAAAAAGAAAAGGACGAAAAACTTGCTTCGTAACTTCGATATGTGCCTCATCATGATTATTGACAGAATCGCTGGTAGACGTTTGCGTCTGCAATGTTATATCACAGTTGGACTCGGGGTATACGTTTTCACTTCCATCACGAATGCCTCTAGCATGCGTTGTGAACTCTCGGCGCCGTGCGGTACCAGCGCAGAGTCGTCTGCATACAGCACTTCTTGTGTAACCAAATGTAAGTTCTGGGCCAAAATGCAGATCATCAAAAACGTCCTGCAACATGCCCGTCTGCACTATGATGAACAAATACGGCAATAAGGGGCATCCTTGGGGGGGTGTTGGTTGCTTGGCGGTGTTCTGAAAATTCCCCACAGTGGTCTGGAATACTGACATAGCGATGGGACCCTCTGCCTCCTACCGCATCTACACCTGGCGGTGGCAAACCAGAGCGGGCCAGAGCAGCACAAGACAGTCAGGTTTAGGGCATTCAAAAGATCTTGCTCAATCAGGAAGAAACACTTTCAGCCCACCGCTGTTGTTTAGCAAAGCTGCATCAATCATACGCCTCACTCGCATAAGTGCGTCGGACGTGCCGCGGCGGGGCGAAATCCAATTTGAGATTGTCGCATGCACGTTCCCGCCCTTCCACGTAGTAGTCGCTGGTGTAGCATGGCAGCGAAGGCTTTGCAACCCATAGACAATAATGACATTGGACGGTAAGTACTAGTTAAAGTGGCATCCGTCTTTGGAGTAGCAATATGACGCTTGCTCTCCGTCACCTGTCTGGTGGATCTGTTTCCCTCAACACTCTTGACATACATCCAATAGTGCTCCACATGCGCACTCGTCTCAAAAAAACAGCCTTCGAAAAAAATAGCGGTACATAATCCGGCCCAGCCGCTTTCCAATTCTTGATTTGCTTGAATACATAATGTAGTTCAGCCATGCTGACATTGGACACGAAAACGGGCAAGTCAGCACCAAGTGGATTCGAAAACTGTTGGCACTACGTCTGCAAATTGCAGGTTCCACTGGATTCGTTCTAATTTCATTCTGCGCGAAACTCAACCCACACCCATCGATGACCTCACCCTCGGTCACTGCAAGTCGTGACAGCCGAGCTTCTCCGCAGCGTGATCGGAGCTGGAGAAGTGAAACGAGTCCCGCGTAAAGCGCATCAGCCTGCTTGGGCCGATGCTCCGCTTAACTGTCATGGCTCAAGCGGTCAACTTAAACAACCCGCCCCTCATAAGGCCTGAGGGGGCAGGACGAGGGACAAGGAGGGGGGGGAGAGGGCACCGAGGTAGCCGGAAGCGGCTGACACGCACATCGCGCATCACCCGCTGCGAGGGGCGGAAAGTCGGGCGGTTACTCAGCGCTGGCACCGATGTATTAGACGCTCCGTGAAGTACCACGTAAACTTGCACGCTGAAGACGAAAAGGAGGAAGAGGAACAGAAAGCAGGGAAGCGGGGGGGGCGGGACAGCGGACAACAGAAAGGCATCACAAAGTCAGCTTCAATGGCGGCTCCAACCAGCGGGCGTTGGAGGCTCGCTGAGCAACAGCGGCCCGCCCGGCGGGAGCGTCACTGGACTTTTTCGAAGTAGTCGGCGAAAGCATCTGGCCGGGCAGCGGCATCGATAAGATGATTGTCGAGATCCCGTACTCCAGCACGAATGCTCTCGCTGCGGCCCTTTTTGTTTCACACGTTCTTTGACTGCGTCCCAGCTGCAACCAACAAACAAACAAAAAAATCTTGCCAAACCAATGTGTGCACTCCGCCCGCGCAGCGGTCCGAATCGGTCTGTTCAAGGATCGCGCTTCGTCGGCATCCCCATTTGGATCGCTCTTCGTCGGCATCCCCATTTGGTCGTAAAACGCTTCGTCTCTCCATCGCAGCTTGGGAAATCCACGTCCTGCGTGCAGATTGCTGTCTGGTATGCAGGGCGCTAGATGCGGGGGGCGAATGCGCTGTCTGCTTGATTCGCCAATTGGTTGAGCGAGCTGTCCTCGACAGAAGTTGATTTGCGAGGCACGGCCAAAACCAAGCATGTGGACAGTTCGCATCGCTACCACAGTCCCGACGTGTGGCTGCGTCACAACATCGGGGCAACGGTTGCCCTGTCCCCCCAAAAGACAGACTCCACATCGGAAGAGAAGGTTCTCGCCTTACCCGCAACTCTGAAGGATGTGGCCTGCAGTCCAGAAAAAAACTCCTACCCAAAAAAAAGGCCCTGCGATACGGCGGCGGACGACCTGCCGCATTCTCCTATATTCTCTGATGACCACCTCAGCCTTAAATCTGGGTGCGGGTGGCCTTCAAGCCTGCAGCGCGCCTGGCAATTCTCCCACACTCCTCACCCGTCCTCCTCCGTTCTCCCACGCGTCCACCTACATGTTCTTCCCTCCTTGTACGACGACGAGTACGAGAACGACGGCCGGCGACGCGTACGACTACGACGACAACGAAAACGACGACGACGGCGACGACGGCGACGACGACGACGACGACGACGACGACGGCGGCGGCGGCGGCGGCGGCGGAAACGACAGCGTGCTCGGCGGCGGCCTCGGCGAGGTCAGCGAGCGGCTGGCCCAGCTCCGCCTCGATGTCGCCGTCGCCATCATCTTCGCAGCCGTCGTCGTTGTCGCCAACGTCGTCGCCAACGTCCGACCGACGTCGCGCCGACACCGAAAAAAAAAATCTCGGATCATCTCGTTCTGCTTCTCTAGTGGGCCCCAGAGCAGGCGTGCAAAGCGAGCAAGTAAATTGGAGCTCCACGGGGTCCCAGGCGGTAACCAGGTTGACGAGTTACCGCCGGCGTCCAGTCGCCATCGGCATCGCCTTCGTCGTCGCAGCCGTCGTCGTTCTCGCCGTCGTCGTCGCCACCGTCTCAACATCGTCGCCGTCACCGTGATCGTCCTCGCCCTCCTTGCCGCCGTCGTCGTCTGAGACGAGGTCAGGACCAGGATAAATTAAGATGAGGGTAATTCGAGAATCTCAGATCTGGCGGCTCTTGAAAATGTCTCGGGCGCCGCGGCCTTCTCATAGCGTTCTGGGACGCTTTGAGAGCGTTCCAGAACGCTCTGGGACGGATTTGTCCTCGTCCTAGTCCCGTCCGATCCTCGACGACCGTCTCGCCGCGACAGCCTCTTGGCGGCGCGCACACGGGGTAGGGGGAGGGGGGAAGGCGTCTTAGAAGGAGGCTGCTTCTTAAGACGGCGCTGGCCCTACGTCTACAGGATAAGGCCCGCGCCTTCTGAAAAGCAGGGGTGCTTCTGAGAAGCAATCCCCCCTCCCCCTACGTGCCCCCCCTTCTGTACGTGGCCGAGCCTCGCCGTGCGCGAAGCCACACAGCTCCCCCTTCTCGCAGGCGCCGGCCTCGAAGAACTGGCAGAGAGTGCGCTTCACCTCGGCGGGCCCGGGGCGTCCCCCCAGAGGCCCTCGAAGGCACTTTGTGCGGGTGGATCTCTCAAGCTTTTTCCGCCGCCTCTGGCGGTGTACGTCGCCAGCAGCAGCACAGCAGAGCCACAAGAAGGCGCGGCACTGACGGTGCAGCTCCGCACACGTGACAAGTGTTAACGAGCAGGAACGCAGCAGAGCCCCAGCAGAGCGGCGGCCCTCACTGGCCCTCGGCGGCCCCTCCAGCGGCCCTCGGCGAAGCTCTGCCAGGCCGCCGCTACAAAGCGGCCTGCACAAGTCATTGAGACGTGGCAGCCATGAGAGCTCGCGCGAGCCCTGGCTTCCTGGCCTCCGACGAGATTCGCCTGCAACCCTGTCGAGGGTGCGGCCTTTTGGGGCCCATTCGGTTGTTCTCCTCTGGAGGTCCTGCGGCAGCCATCGAGAGATGCTAAAGGGCCCCCCTCATACGCCCAAGAGCTTCACAAACACTCACCTGTAGGAGATACGTTCCCAACTCGTTTTCGTTTGCCACCGTGCCCCATGGCATGCTGAGGCGCGGTACAGTAGCATGTGCTGTCAGGCAGGGCGTCTGTGTTCTCCTAAGGGCCCCCCCCTCCACTGGCAAACCGCTGCGTGCGTCGCCGCCCCCCTCGCGCACGGGGCTCCCACGAGGCGCCCACGAGGCGCCCACGAGGCGAACCCCCGGCGGACCCAGCCAGAGCACGGGACGCCCACGAGGCGCCCACGGGCGCCGACGGGGCGAGGCGTCGGCGGCGCCAGCCATCGCACGGGGCGCCCGCGAGGCAACTGCAGACGCCCAGCAGACGAGACCTCGGCGGAGCCAGCCAGCGCACGGCGGTGCCCACGAGGCGCCAACGGGTGCCCGCCAGGTGGAGCCTCGGCGGACCAAGCCAGCGCAAGGGGCGCCCGCGATGCGACCACGGGCGGCCCCCTGCTTCGCGAACGAGTTCATTCTCCGCTTCCCCCCTCCCCCTCCCATCCTCCTCATCCTCCTCCTCCTCCTCCTCCTCCTCCTCCTCCTCCTCCTCCTCCTCCTCCTCCTCAGTCCCCCCTCTGTCATCGTCACCATATTCTTCCCTCCTCCCCTGCCCCCCTCGCCCCCTTCATGCCTCCTCACTCCTCTCTCGTCCTCTACATCCTCCTCCTCCTCCTTCTCCTCCTGCTCCCTCCTCCCTCCCTCCCTCCAGGACCTTCTCTCTAAACTCGCCGGCCGGCCTGGCAACCCCTGAACGCCGCCCCGCCCGCCTTGCCGCTATGAGGGACCTCCGCGCCGAGTTCGTCCGCCCCGTGCGCAAAGCCGCAGAACCGGCCTCTTCCGCAGCATGGGGAGAGGAGAGAGGAGGAGGAGGAGGAGGAGGAGGAGGAGGAGGAGGAGGAGGAGGAGGAGGAGGAAGAGGAGGAGGAGGAGGAGGAGGAGAAGGAGGAGGAGAAGGAGGAGGAAGAGGAGGTCGCAGGACGCAGGAGGACGAAGGACGCAGGAAGACGCAGGACGCAATAGGACGCAGGACACAGGAGGACGCAGGACACAGGAGGACGCAGGACGCAGGACGCAGTCAACGACAGTGTCGGTAGGCCGTCACGCTCGTGCCACACTGTGCACCCCGTTATCGATTATCGGGGTCTGAAAGGGTTCTGATTCACAGACGGCTTCAGACGGGTTCCTCCAGGCAGCGGCTGGGCCGATTGGATTGCGCAGTGTACGCACGAGGCTGCGCGGAGCGGAAACGTGGTGGAACCCACTGCGGGGCCGCGCAACGTGTGAGGGGTGCGCTGCAATGGGGCGGGGCCGCCACTGGGACCTTCGGTGGAACTCCTGATTAGGCCACGAAACGCTGTACTGAGTGGGGGGGACGCATGCGAACACCGCCACTGGGGCCGTCGGTGGAGCTCCGTATGGGCCACGAAACCGCCACTGGAGCCTTCGGTGGAGCTCCCGATGGGGCCACGAAGCGCTGTACTGGGTGGGGGAGACGCATGCGAACACCGCAAGTGAGGCCGCGGGGGAGCTCCCCATGGGGCCACGAAACGCTGTGCTGGGCGGGGGGGCGGCATGCGAACACAACCACTGAGGCTTTCGGTGGAGCTCCTCATGGGGCCACGCAAAGCTGTATTAGGTGGTGGAAACGCATGTGAGCACCGCAACTGAGGATTCCGGAGGAGCTCCCTATGGGGCTACGAAGCGCTGTACTGGGCGGGGGGAGCACATGCGAACACCGCCATTGGGGCCTTCCGTGAAGCTCCCTATGAAGCCACGAAACGCTGTACCGGGCGGGGGAGACGCATGCGAACGCCGCCATTGCGACGTTCGATTGAGCTCCCGATGGGGCGACGAAACGCTGTGCTGAGTAGGGGAAACACAAACGAAAACCGCCCCTGGGGCGTTCGGTGGAGCTCCCTATGGGGCCACGAAACGCTGTGCTGAGGCAGGGAAGACGCACGCGAACGCCGCCATTGGGACCTTCGGTGGAGCTCCCGATGGGGCCACGAAGCATTGTACTGGGCGGGGGAGACGCATGCGAATACCGCCACCCGGGCGTTCGGTGGAGTACACCATGGGGCCACAAAACGCTGTACTGAGTGGGGGAGACGCATACGAGCACCGCACTGGCGCTTCCGGTGGAACTCCCAATTGGGCCACGAAGCGCTGTACTGGGTGGGGGAGACGCATGCGAACACCGCCACTGGGGTCTTCGGAGGAGCTCCTATGGGCCACGAAACCGCCACCGGGGCCTTCGGTGGAGTTCCCCATGGGGCCACGAAGCGCTGTACTGGGTGAGGGAAACGCATGCGAACACCGCAACTGAGGATTCAGGCCACGAAACGATGTACTGGGTGGGGGAACCGAATGCGAACACCGCCACTGAGGCCTTCGGTGGAGCTCCCTATGGGGCCACGAAACGTTGTACTGGGTGAGGGAACCGCATGTGCACACCGCAACTGAGGCCTTCGGTGGAGCCCCCACGAAACGTGTGAGGGGTGTGCCGACATGGTTGACTGGTGCGGACGGCAGAGGCACGGATAGGCGGAGGAAGGAGGTGGAGGAGGAAGGAGGAGACGCGGGGCGCTGTCTCTTCAAGACGAAGACCCAACACCACAGGATGGTTGAACGTTGGAAAAATACACATAAACGTTTCAACATCTTCATTACATGTTGCCAAAATCGCCTCTCCCGCATGTCGGAATCATTCGAGCGCACCTGCTCGCGTGCTGGGAGGGGCGATCATTGTCAACTGGTACCATGCGGGCCACTCGCGCGCGTCGGCCGCACGCGCATGTCCAACTCGTGCCAAAATCTTCATCACCGACGCGGGACACCGTCATCGTCACCAGCGTGATCAACATCAGCAACGTCATTGGCCTTGCCGTCGTCATCGTCATCGTCATCACCACCTCCGCTACTATCGTCATCGTGTCCACTGTTGTCGGCGTCGCCATGATACCGCGCCCGCCCGAATCACCAGCGGTCAGCGCCACCGCAGCCGCGTCGGCCGCGCCGTGCTAGCTGGCCGCTGTGTGCGCGCGCATGCGCGGGCTAGCGCGACCGCTTAGATGCACCAGCACCCAGCACTTATCCCAATCACCACCGCATGGGTTTTGCAAACAAGCTGCGGGTGGGTGGGTGGGATGATTGCGCGAGCAGTGGAGCTGATAACTCCTGGATGTTGAAACTCAATTGCACGACAAAGACTGCACCAATAGATGGCACACCACATACATTGCACCGCGTAGTTTACACAGCATAGATTGCACAACCTAAATGACAACGCAAATAGTGAACTACCTGTATTCCACCACATAGACTGCAACATCTAGGCTGCGCCGCAAAAGTGCCCATCATACGTTGCACAAAATAGATTGCACAACATGGCTTGCATCACGCATCTGCATCGCCTAGACGGCTCCACCTAGATTGCACAACCGTCCTGCAAGAAACACACGGTTGGGGTCCACGCTGGCTAGCATACATGTGTGTACACATGCATACGTACATACATACATACTTACATACATACATACATACATACATACATACATACATACATACACTCATACACTCATACATTCATACACATACATACATACATACATGCATACATACATACATACATACGTACATACATACATACATACATACATACATACATACATACATACATACATACATACATACATACATACAAGCAGACGTAAAAGCGTACATGCGTACGTGCACCCGTACATACATACAGGCATACATACATACATGCATATATACATACACACATACAGGAGAGCGTGATCCACCGCCGCTTTACTGTGGAAAATTCCCCCCCCCCTCTTCCTCCGGAACCCGGGGGTCCACCCCCCCTCCGAAAATCCCCGCCCCCCCCCCCTGCTGGAACCCCCCCCCCTTCCCCCGGCAAAGCTCCCCCCCTCCCCTAACCCCTCCTCCCCGCCCCCCTCCCCTCCAGAAAACCGGGGGGGGTCACTACCGGTTCGAACCACCCCCCCCTCGGAAAACTGGGGGGGGTCACTACTGGTTCGAACCCTTCCCCCCCCCCCCGAGAAAACTAAAGGAAGGTCACTACCAGTTCGGCCCCCGCCCCCTCCAGAAAACCAGGGGGGTCACTACCGGTTCGAACACCCCCCCACCCTCTCGAAAACCGGGGGGGGTCACTACCGGTTCGAATCCCCCCTCCCCTCCCCCTCGAAAACCAGGGGGGGTCACTACCAACTCGACCCCCCCCACTTGAAAACTGGGGGGGGATACTACCGGTTCGAACCCCTCGCCCCCGCCACCGCCAGCAAACGAATCCTGGTCCCTACCACCGTCCGCTGCTGTTCCCAGCACCACTGTCCTCACCACCACTGTCCCCACTGGTTCCACCACCGTCCCTACTATCCCCACCAGTGCCCCCACAACTGTCACACTGTCCCCACTGTCCCCACCACTGTTCCCACCACGGTTCCACTCTCCCCTTTTTCTCCACGGCCCCAACCACTGGCCGACTGTCCCCACTGTCCCCACTGTCCCACTGTCCCCACTGTCCCCACCACTGTCCCCGCTGTACCTCTGTCCCATTGTCCCACAGCCGTCCTCGCCACCGCCCTCACCACTGTCCCCACCACCACTGTACCCTCCACTGTCCCACTGTTTCCACCACATTTCCACTGTCCCCACACCACTGTCCCCACCACCACCGTCCCCACCACTGTCCAACTGCCCCCACTGTTCCCACCATTGTCCCCGCTGTCCCCACCAGTGCCCCCACCAGTGTGTCAATGTCCCCACTCTCCCCACCATTGTCCCACCACGGTCTCACTCTCCCCACTTTCCCCACGGTCCCCACAACTGTCCCACTGTCCCCACTGTACCCACTACTGTCCCACTGTCCACGCCGCTGTCCCACTGTGCTGTACCAGCGTCCCCACTGTCCCCATCACTGTCCCACTGTCCCTACTGTCCCCACCACTTTCCCCACTGTGCTATACTGTCCCACCACTGTCCTCACCACCGCCTTCACCAGTGTCCCCACCACTATCGTCCACACCACTGTCCCACTGTTCCCACCACTGTCCCGCTGTCCCCTCACCACTGTCCCCACCACCACCGTCCCCACCACTGTCCGCACCCCCCCCCCAGTTTTCGAGGGGGGGGGGGGGTTCGAACCGGTAGTGACCCCCCCCGGTTTTCGGGGGGGGGTCGAACCGGTAAAGACCCCCCCCCAGTTTTCCGCCAGCAGCGGTAGAACACGCTCTTTTACACACACAAGTATACATATATGCATGTATACAAACATACGTACGTGTGTACGTGCATACATACGTACATACACGCAGGCATACTTACATATATGAATGCATACCTGCATACAGATATGCATACATACATACAGTCAAGTATTCACATATACATGCATACACATATACATACATACATGCACACATGAAGGTATACATACATACATACATACATACATACATACATACATACATACATACATACATACATGCATGCATGCATGCATGCATGCATGTATATATACATACATACATATGCATACATGCATTCATACATTCATACGTTCACACATATATACACGTACCTGCATACAGACAAACATACATACATACCGACATACAAACATACATAAATGCATAAAGTCGTACATACATGCATACACATGCATACATACATGCATGCACCCGTATGCATACATGCATACGTGTGCATGCGTAGGTACATGCATAAGTGCATGCATAAACACGTGCATGCACGCATACATGCAGTAACGCATACATCATACGTACATGCATGCATGCATACATACATGCATAACTGCATACAAATATACATACGTAGATACATACATGCGTACATACATATACATAAAATAAATACAGACGTACATACATTCATACATACATGCATGCATACATGCATGCATACATACATTCATACATACATACATACATACATACGTACAGCTATGCACAAATACATACATACATATCTACATGTATGCATACATGCATACATGCATACGTACACCCATGCATACGTGCATGTACAAGTGCGTACACCCATACGTACATACGTGGCCGCGGCCATGTTGTAGCATTGCCAGTTTGCGGAGGTCACACACACACACACACGTGTTGGCGGGCATGCTGTGTGACCCCTTTCGGGAGCCCTCGGGGGGGAGCCCTCGGGAGCCCAATGGGGCTGGTGAGACCCCGTAGTGGCCCCGTGACCCAACGGGGATATGTGACCCTGTGTTGGCCACGACCGCCGCTCCAATACAGAGAGCCCCTCCGACGCGAACCAAGTGGACAACGCCACGTGCATAAGCCACCGTGCCTTGGCGCGTAGCGTCGTGTCCTCAGGTGGCCGAGCCCTCCAAACTGAGAACTCGGTATGGCAAGAGGGACCCACAGCCCCGACTGCCGGGCGCTCTCGGGGCACGGCCGTGCCAAAGGACACAGCGCGCACAGGTGGCCCAGGAGGGCTCCCAGAGGCCCCCAGGACGGTCCCCGAGGGCCCCGAGTCGCCCAACAATCGCTCAAAGACGCCCAAGATGGCCTCCAGGCGGCCCAGTAGGAGCCCGACGGAGCCCAAGAAGCCCGAGAGGACCCCGTAAGTGCCCCAAGAGAGGCCCAAGAGGGGCAACACAAACTGACACTCCGAGCCCTGCGCCCCAAGATGACCCCCAAGACCGCCATCATGCCCCCAAGATGCCTTCAAGAAGCCCCAGGAGGCCCCCACGGGGCCCAAGAGAGGCCCAGAGAGGCCACCAAGAGGTCCCCAAGAGGCAACAAGACATCCAAAAACTGCCTCAACGAGGCGTCCGAGTGGCCCCCCAAGAGTCCCAACTTCCAAAAGGCTTCTGACCCTGGCACGGTGGCGGGAAGGGCCGAAGGTACGAAGCTTCCCAAATGGCGCGACGCTGCTCACCGAGGAATTTGCGCCAAGGGGAGGAGGAGGAGGAGGAGGATAAGAGGGGGACGGGGCGCTGCTCACCGAGGAATTTGCGCCAAGGGGAGGAGGAGGAAGAGTAAGAGGGGGAAGGGGGAGGGGGAGGAGGAGGAGGAGGAGGAGGAGGAGGAGGAGGAGGAGGAGGCGGAGGAGGAAGAGGAGGGTGGAGGAGGAGGAGGAGGAGGAAAACGGAAGATGGTGGTAATGATTATCATGGTTACGGTTCCTCACACAGTTCTTGTAATTACTCAGGCATTTTCTTTCGTGCAATAAGAATTGGATGGGCCCAGCGAAGATTCACCCCGTTCCCGTCCGTTGCCGCCCGTTGTCGTCTTGTTGCCGCCTCGTTGCCGCCCGTTGGCGCGTGGGATGTCCCGTGAGGATTCGCCACGGCCCCTCCCGTTGACGCCCGTTGCCGCCTCGTTGCCGCATCGTTGCCGCCTCGCTGCCGCCTCGCTGCCGCCTCGTGTGCTGGGTGGATGTCCCAAGGGTTCGCCGCGCTCTTGGCCGTTGCCGCCCGTTGTCGCCTGGTTCCGCCTCGTTGCCGCCTCGTTGCCGCCTCGTGCAGTGGGTGGGTGCCCCATGCGGAGTCGCCTCGCTGCCGCCCATTGCCGCCGCGTCGCCGCCTCGTGCTGGGTGCCCCGAGGATCCGCAAGGCTGCCGTCCGTGGCCGCACTGTTGCCGCCTCATTGCAGCCTCGTGCGCTGGGTGGGTGTCCCGAACAATCGCCCCGCTGCCACCCGTTGCCGCCTCGTTGCCGCCTCGTGCGCTCCCCCATCCAGTGGGGAGACGCGATGCGTCAAGCCATCTGGAGAGATCCAGCTTCGTGCCGGCCTTGCTGTGGACGCGGAGCGTTGCCACACGGCGACTGCCACAAAGCTTCCACCAGGTAGCCTCCACCACACAGCTTCCACCACATAGCTACCACCACCGGGGTGAAAAAACTCACTGCTCGGGGTCCACACTGGCAAACATTATGCCTAGAATGGCTATGATGAGGAGCAGCGAGCAAGGGATGGGAGGGGACCAAGAAAAGGAGGAGGGAAGATAGGGCAGAGGGACAAGGAGAACGAGGAATGAACAGGAGGCGTGGATGAGAAGTGGAAGAGGACTGGAGGAGGAGGCGAGGCGGAGGGGGCCTCTCTCGCAGCCGCCCCCCAACCAGAACTGGCACAGCGTCCGCTTCCGGCTGGGCGCCAGCCCGGCGAGGGGCGCCGCCATGGCGCGCCCGCGGCCGCAGCAGGGGCGCCGCGGGGCATCGCAACCTCGAGTCTCCGAGCCCAAATGGCTGTCGACATCGTCGCTGGCATCGTCGTCGGCCGCGTCGTCGTCGGCGGCGGCGTCGTCGGAGTCGTCGTCGGCGGCGCCACCACTGGCGCCATTGGCATTTTACGGCAGCGGCACCGTGTTCTCGACGTGACTCTTCTATAGGAGGCTTCTTGCCCTCAAGCCTTCGGAGCGTTGTTCAAAGGTGACACGCTGCGCCCCTGGGAGACGGCTGCGGCCACGCGGTGCGAGTCGGTGCTCGACATCAGCACGCAGAAACAACACATGCTGGAGATGCGCACGCAGGGGCCATCCCCACCACTGCCGGGGAAACCTTGGGTCCCGCCGACCGACCTTACCTCTCCTGGGTGGGGGCGGTTGCCGTCTCCCTCGGGTTCCGCAGCGCCCATCCCCAGCAAGGGGGCTACGCTGGGAGAGCGTCCTTACCTTGTCCAAGCAGGGATTGGGATGATTCTGAGGATGATGATTTTCGATGCATTGTATATTCGGTGCCGTCTTTCGCTTGATTTGATCACTGCACGGGGGGGTGCTCTGCCATCTCCGGACCTGCTAAAATGTTTATGTTGTGCTGTGGGTATGCGACGTGTCTGCTCCCGATTCTTGTGACTTCCCTTATACGTTAAACCTGCCTGCCTACACTACCCGCGGCTAAGGTGACTCCGCCGAACAGAGGTCGAAGCTACCACACAGCTGGAAACACAAACTAGAGGCCTCCCCGATGGGGTCCGAATAGATGGTGACTACCTACTGGTTCCACTTTCCACTGTTACAGGTTTGCTTTATGCTTCCTACTGTAAATTGTTACTGTCCGCGCGAGAGGGGGAGCCGAGAAGGAACCTGGTTACCACGACCGAACCGCGTGCTGTGAATTCCTGGGGGGAGCATGGGACACGTAAAGATACATAAAATTCGCGCCCCCCCGAGGCCATAAACCCTTATAATTTACACGATACTCGCGTCCCCGAGGCCACAAGCATTCGCAAATACTACATATCCGTGTCCCCGAGGCCATATACCCTCCCGAAGTATGCAATACTGGCGTCCCCGAGGCCACAAACGCTCGCAACTCACACAATATTCGTGCCCCCGAAGCCATAACTCTTTGCATATTACGCAAGATTCGCGTCTCCGAAGCCATAAACCTGGGAGAATGACATAATATTTGGGACCCCGAAGCCATAAACCTTTTGTAAAACACTAAATAATCGCGTACCCGAAGCCATAAACCCTCGTAAATTACCCCATATTCCCGTCTCCGAAACCATAAACCTCCGTAATTTACATTATATGTGCGACCCCGAGCCCATAAACCCTTGTAAGTTACGCGCTATCCGCGTATCCGAAGCCATAAACCCTCGAAATACAACGCCGAATTCAACAATATCAGAATCTCAATTTGTCTTGCCGATTACTCATCGTCTTCGCGTGAAGTCCCGACGCTGCTTCACGGCGGCGCCAAGGCCTCATGATTTCGCTCTTGCATTGCCCATTATTATCCGAGCAAGGGGGCCGGCGACAGGGGGCGAAGCCCTTACGGGAAAGAAAAAGAGGAGCGACGACACCTTCGTCGCACGCCTCAGCTTGTCCATCTCCACGGGAGGCCCAGGCTACACACCGTGCCTTCGGAAGGCCAACACACACACACGCACACACACACACACACACACACACACACACACACACACACACACGCACACACACACACACACACACACGCACACACACACACACAAGCACACACACACACACACGTGGTGGCGGAAAGGCGAGCCCCGAATGCGGCACCCCAGCATCGTGCATGCCGCAAGGCTGCCATTCCCGTGCCCCTCGTGTGCACGAGGGGGCAAACATCTACGTCAAGATGCGCACCTGCGCTGCACTGGCTGAGCTTTTTGGGAGGGCCAGGGCTCGAAAACAGCAAGCCGTGTGCTCACCCCGCTGCACGGTCGAGCCTGCTGATCCGCATGGCTGGCTGCAGCCGCGTGGCGGACACGTCTCCTGTGGGCGGCGCGCACAAAGGGGGTAGGAGGACTCGCAACGGACACTGCACAATCCTAGCCACGCGTCGGGGATACCTTGCGACCCCCCGATGCGCCATGGCCAGGCAGCAGAAAACACACCAGAATCGCTTGAGATGCTCATCGAAAGAGCCACTCAAACAGCCAACTCGCGGCCTCAAAATACTCAACACTGTCCAGATGCTACCAAGCGAGAAACATGCATTCGGTCGAATCATAAAGACGTTGCATAATCTGCGGCAACATCCGGCCCGGCCAACAGCTGCCGCAGAGGAACACCTCGGGGAGCGAGAGGCCACGCTGCGTGCATAACCCCCTGGCTCTGCCTGCGTCAGACCATGTAGCTGCGCCCATGTGGCATCACGTGTGCGTGGATCTTGATATGCAGACTCGCGCCCTGCATCTACAGACGAGGCCCGCGCCCTCTGCGAAGCAGGGGTGCTGGCCCTAAGTCTACAGACAAGGCCCGCGCCTCCTGAGAAGCAGAGGTTGCTTCTCGGAAGCCCTCCCCCCTCCCCCCTGCCCCCCTCTTCGGGTGCCCCTGGCCCAGGGTGCCCCTAAGCTCTCCGCGCCATCGTGAAGCCCCTGGGGGCCTGGGGGCCCTCCGGGCCTCCAGGGCGGGGTGCTCTGGAGACAGCGGGGGCCCCCCCCCCCTTGGAAGTGCTGGGGGCGCCTCGGGCCGGGGGCGCTTCTCGCAGCACGGGCCCTCCGCGCGTGGCCGACCCTCTCCAGGGGGGGCCCTCGTCGCCCTCTCGGCGAGCCCGCCTCGTGGCAGCCCCACGGCGCGCGGAGCCCGCGCGGCGCGGCCCCGCGGGCGGGGCCCCCTCCCCGGAGGGGCCGGCCTTCCACCGCCACACACCACAAGTTGGAGGGGGGAGGAGGAGGAGGAGGAGGAGGAGGAGGAGGAGGAGGAGGAGGGAGGAGGAGGAGGAGGAGGAGGAGGAGGAGGAGGAGGAGGAGGAAGAGGAGGAGGAGGAGGGGGAGGAGGAGGAGGAGGACCCTCTCCAACTCCAACTTGTGGTGGTGGTGGTGGAAAACAGGCCCATCATCCCCGGCGAGTCGGTCAGCCGCCGGCGCTCGCCGCCTCCACGAGCGAGACCCCCGCGGCGCTCCGGGCCGGCGGGCAGCCCCCCGTCGCGCAGCAGCGGGGCGCCGCGTCGTTGTAGACGGCGGAGCCGGCCACCAGGAGGGCGAAGCCGAGCAGCTGCAGGAAGCTCCACGAGGTCCAGCGCTCCGCCGCGCCGCCGCCCACGAGCCGGGAGAGGGCCACGTCGAGCAGCCAGACCAGTGGGGACACGAGCTGGCCCAGCACCACCCTGGTGAGGGCGCTGAGGTGCTCCGTGGTCTTGAAGGCCGCGGCGTTGAAGATCAGCAGCATCGCCCAAAGGCCAGCGATCTCCGCGGCGAGCGCGGGGCGGGCCGCCACGAGAGCGAGGGACGAGCCCAGCTCCTCGTGCACCGCGGGCGCCCAGGCCTCGGGCGCGCGCGGGGTGGCGGCGAGCACCGGGAACAGCACGGCGAACATCAGGACGCCCCACAGGCCCATGACGCCAACGGACATGAACGCGGACGCGCCGCTCTCCCCGAGCAGCCTCTCGGTCACGATTGTCGGCGGCGCGCCCAGGGGGAAAGCAGAGTGGTGGGCCTTCCCAGAAGGCTCAGACGGCCTCTGGCCTCTGGAGAAGGTTCCCAAGCCATCTCTGAAGCCACAGGGTGCTTCTCAAAGGCCGGAAGGCTTCTGATTGTGAGATGTCCTGCCGCCTTCTGAGAAGGCAAGCCCGACGACACGACCGACGACGACGACGACGTCGACGACGACGATGACGACGACGCTGACGCTGATGACGACGACGACGAAGACGACGATGACGACGACGACGACGACGACGACGACGACGACGACGACACGGACGGCACGGACGACAAGGACGACACGGACGACACGAACGACACGGACGACAGACCACAAACCACGGACGACGGCGGCGACGACGACAACGACGACAACCCGCGGCGACCGACGGCACGCCCTCACCCCTCGGCGCGCCGCCGAGATGAACTCCAGCGCGTAAAACAAGTTGGCCAGCAGAACCATGAGCAGCCCCAGGGGCGGCGCCCAAGCGGGCAGCCCCTCGGACGTGCCGTCATCCTGGCCGCTCACGGAGGCGACGCGGGCGGAACCGACGACGAGGAGCCCGACGACGAGGACGCCCACGCCGAACGCCTCGTGTTTCGCCATGACGTTTCCCAAGAGGGTCTTCGACAACAGTGCTGTGAACACGACGTTGGCGGCCCCCATCATCTCGACGACGGTCGGCGGGCAGAGGACAGAAATCATATATATATGTATATATATATATATATGTATATATATGTATATATATATATATGTTTACACGTAAATACAAACATTCATATATACATGCATGCATGCATGCATACATACATATATATACATACGTACATACATACATACATACATACATACATGCATACATACATACATGCATACATACATACATACATACAAACATACATACATACATACATACATACATACATACATGCATGCATGCATGCATGCATGCATGCATACACACACATACATACATGCATACATTCATACATATATACATACATACATGCATACATATGTATGTGTGTATGTATGTGTATGTATATATGTGTATACGTGTATATGTACACCTGTATATATTTATACGCACATTTTTACGCACCCACACTTTTTATTGCCCAGAACACCACCCAACCACCCCCCACCCCCCACCCCCTAAACCTGACCCCCACCGGGACGCCCAAAATGCCCTTTTCGGACGTCCTCGGCGGCCCCCTGGACGCCCTTGGAAAAGGTCCGCTGGCCCTTCTGGGCCTCCCAGTGCGCCTTGCCAGGCCTTGCCGGGCCTTGCAAGCAGACGCAAAGCGATCAGAAGGGTCATCGGAGAGGCGCAAGAAAGACTCAAGACAGCACAAGAGCGTTCCAAGAGGAACCCCGATGGCCTGAGGACGGCCCAAGAGACCCCCAGGACGCCCCAAGACGCCGTTATGAAAGCGCCGAAAAGGCACAACTCGACCCATTATTTTTGGGAAAATGTACATGTTGACCATATCCGTTTTCGGGGTCTTCGCAGCCTCCAATACGGCCCGATGGACCCCCGATACCGCCCCAAGACGGCCCAAGAGGCCCCCCAGAGGCTTTGAAAACGGCCCAAGAGGGCTCCAAGACTGCCCGAAAGAGCCCCGAGACTGCCGACAAGAAGCCCAAGATGCTCCCAGAAGGCTCCCGAGAGAGACCCACGAATGCCATGGGAGACACACAGGAAGGCCATTGGAGGAGGCCCCCAAGAGGGCCCTAGATGGCTTCAGAAGACCTCTGGAGGGCCCCAGCTCCCCAGGGAGGCCCGAGGCCTCGGGACGGTTCAGAAGGCCCCAGGACGGCCCAAAAGAGCCCCAAAAACGCCCAGACGGCGTTTTCCGTGCGCTCGTCGCGCCCACGCCAGCCTGCCTGTGTTTTTCTGTTTCCCGTGACCCTTTATCTCCCTCTTTGTGTCCTCTCTCTCTCTCTCTTTATGTTTATCTCTCTCTCTCTCTCTCTCTCTCTCTCTCTCTCTCTCTCTATATATATATATACATATATAGCGATGCCCTTCCTCTGCTGAAAAAAAGCTCCTCTTAAACCCAAGGCCGATGCACTTTTCCGGGCTCACCACTGCCTCTGCAAACATCTGACAACTCGAGGGCGGCCTCAGTTGGGGCCGGCCTCGACTAGCCAAGGGTGGGCGGGCATGGGAGAGCTTGAAGCCAGAGCCCCCGCGCGTCGAGGAATCACTGCAATCAGCGATGCCCTTCCTCTGCTGAACAAGCTCCTCTTAAACCCAAGGCCGATGCACTTTTCCGGGCTCACCACTGCCTCTGCAAACATCTGGCAACTCGAGGGCGGCCTCAGTTGGGGCCGGCCTCGACTAGCCAAAACCGCTCATGGTGGAAGAAGGGGCGGAGGAGGGAGGAGCGAAGCGGGCACCGAAGAGCTCTGTTGGCAGCGGCGGCGGCACACGAGGACGGCGACCGGAAGGGCGGGGGCCGACGTCGCTCGGCCTCGGCAAACGACTCGAAGACAGAAGCTGCCAGGCGGCCTCGAAAAGGAGGTCGCCGGCAGCCTCGGCGAAAAGCCGGACCTTGCTACGGAGGGGGCTCGGGAGGTCCGCGAGGAGCGTACTAGCCCCGACCTCTTGGATGTAAATCTCCAACATCCTACTGGAGAGCCACCTACCCCTGCAGCGAACCCAGTCTGGCGAATCTGTGAGCCTATACCAAAAAGTGGCCCCTCCCGGACGGAGGGACGCGGGGGTGATGCACACTTTGTCTGAATGCTTAATTCCGAAAAATCCATGAGGGCATCCAGACATGATCTGAAAACACGGGCACCACCATGCATGAGAGGGACGCGAGGGGAGGACCGCAGAGAGAGAGGGCCTCGAAGAAACACAACCTGCGGGACATATATCCTGATGCGCTCGCGGCGTGCGCTCAGGCGTCTCATTTTGGGCGCACCCACGTGCACATACATCGATTGCAGACGTTCCAACGTCCGCGAGGGGAGCACGAGGTCCCCGAACCTCAGCCTCAGGAGCTCGAAGGGCCTCATCATCCCGAAGAAGCCGAGGAGCAGGCAGCGGGCGACGTCGCGCCAGCCCCACGCCAGCGCCAAGCTCACAGAGGCGAGCAGCAGCGCCTCCGGCATCGCCTGGTGGTTCGAGCCCGGCGTGAGGTGCTTCCACGTGAAGGAGATGTCCCACGCAGCGTCTAGCCGGTGTCGAAGGGCACGATTTGCGTCCACCACAGCATTGATCGTCTCGTCGTAGTTGCGGCGGCTCCGCATCGTGTCGTACAGGAACTGGCCGTACTTAGCCAGGTAGCGCGCCACCGTCGCCGGGCCCATCAAGATGAACAGGTCCCAGCTGGGCCCGCCGTGGCCCGCCAGCCAGTGCTGGAGCTGCGAGACGAGGGCAGCACGGCGCGCCTGGACCACTGGCGTCAGACCGCGCGCGGCCGCCAAGTCCACCCCAGCGGGGCGGGCGGTCGGCGGGCGCGGCGCGGCAGCAGGGTCCCACAGCAGCAGCAACACCAGGAGCCCGAAGAGACGGCCCAGCGGCCACGCCGGCCAGGCTGCAGCGGCGCAGGAGGCCGGTGCCAGGGTTCCACGAGCCCGACCCTGATGGAGGCTGGCCGTACCCGGGAGGAGCCTGGCCGTCACCTGACCAGGGGATGAAACCCTGCTTACCTCCATAGGGGGCCTCTCAGGCCAGCCGCCCCCGCCGCGCGGGCCCTCGCCCGGGAAGCCCAGCGCGGGGTCGCGCACCCGCGGTCGAGGGGCGAGCCGCAGGAGCCCGCGCCACCAGAGGCACGCCACCAGCCAAGCCCACCGCGACTGCTGCTGGCGCTGCAGCGGGAGCGCAGCCCAAGCGCGGAAGGCTGAGGCGCCCCCGGCCTCGAGGCCGGCCAGCCAGCACGGAGCGGGCGGCGGGGCCTCGGCCCCGCGGGCCAGAGCGCTCGCCGGGTCGCGGAGCGTGCGCGACGGGATGTCAGCTGGCTGCAGGCGCGTCGGCGCGAAGTGGCACCCAACGTACGAGCCCGTGGCCAGTTGCAACGGGGCCCGCCTCCTCAAGAGCTTGTTGATCGCAGTCGACGAGGAGCGGCCCTTGCTGATGGCCCCGATCGAGACGCGGGAGTCCAGGAGGAGGTTGTGCTTGCAATCAGGGAACCGTAGGCCCTGCTCATCCACCGCGTCGCAAGCTGCGTCGATCTCCAGTAGGTTGATGTGGAGGGGCTTGCGGAAAAGGCGGTGGCAGCGCAGCTGCCAGGGAGCGAAGCCGACGCAGTCGTTCAGCCAGAGGGCCTCGAACGCTCCAGCGGGCGCCGAACTCTCCGCCGGGGGCGGCGGGGGCGGCCCGCCCAGGTTGTCGGCGATCAGCTTGGACAGCTCGTCACAGAAGCCGTGCGGGTAGAGCGCGGCCTTGGGAGTCAGGCCGCCCTCCATGACGGTGCGCCTGTGCCCTCCGCGACAGCGCCTCGCCATAGGCGCCAGCCAGGAGCCCCGCACTACCAGGAGGCTAGTGTCTTTCTTCCAAGGCGCGCCGAACTGGCACATCGAGAGGTCGAAGCGGTCCACGGCCTTGTGCGTCAGCAGGAACTCGACGATGTGCGTGCGCCTGGAGTAGGCCGTCAGGGGATGCTCGTGCAAACTGGCCCCGTGGCCAGAGATCAGGTGGGCGAACAGCGCCAGCATGCCCACCCTGAAGAGGACGTTCCCCAGATGCGTCGGGGCCGAGGATGGGTCGAATCCCCAGGGCCGCATCCTGGACCTGAGCCTTGGGTGCCTCGCGATCGAGAAGCTGGTGCACGGAACCTGTGATATGGTCATCTTGACGCGCCTCTGCCAGATCAGCCATACTATCCACTCCGCTAGGCGCGAGTCGACCAGGTCCCAGTACTTGTGGCACTTGATGTCTATCCTCGGGCCTGCGCGCAGGCCCCAGCCCGAGAGGTACCCCATGAGGCGGGCCTCCTCCCCGCAGCAGAGCTCCAGCACGTCAAAGTACTCGATGAGCGAGGCCGTCGGGTCGACAATGCCAGGGGGAAGTGCGGCATCCTCCTCCAGGTCCTGCGGGACGGCGCCGTCCTCGGGGTTGGCCATGGCAGCCCAGCCTGAGGGGCACAGCCACGTGCGAGCGCCTCGCTGCTCGCGCTGGCGTCAGAACGCTCTGGCGGTGGGCGTTGAGGCCGGCGTCTTGACGGACGCTCCGGCCAGGTGCGAGGCGTCCGAGGCCAGAACGCGCGGGCCCCAGCCCGCGGAGAGGTCGGCGGCCATCAGCAGGAGGAGGACTGCGAACAGAGCGCGCTCGTTGCAGGCCGCGCTGCTCAGGTCGAACACTTCGTGCGGGTTGCGGTCGACGTCGACCTCCTTGTAGCAGTGGCGGAGAAGCGACAGAGTCGGCCGCCGGAACAGCGCGGCGAAGAGCCCCATGCCAAGGATTCTCTGCAGTCCCAGCGTAGTGGAGCGTCGGCCCCGAGCCATGGACAGGCCCATCCAGGCCAGCGCCAACCTGCGGGCGCGGGAGGCGCCGACGAGCCGGTCATGACCCAGGAGCTCTGCCCCGATGACCGTCGCCTCCGCCGCGTCCTTCACCTCCTTGCCAGCGCTGACCCTGAGGCCCGCCTTCGCATAGCCCTCGCGCGCGCGGGCGAAGGACTCCTCGATAGCTCGCCGAGCTTCCCGCGAGCCCGGAGCGTCG